CGCCTTTAATCCCAGCACTCGGGAGGCAGAGCCAGGCGGATCTCTGTGAGTTCGAGGCCATCCTGGGCTACCAAGTGAGTTCCAGGAAAAGGCACAAAGCTACACAGAGAAACCCTGTCTCGAAAAACAAAAACAAAAACAAAAACAAAAAAAACAAAAAAAAAAGAAAAAAGAAAAAAGAAAGGGGGACCTGTGGGAGCCCGTTCTCGGGTTCCTCGTGGCTTTACCCAGCAGGTCCGCATAGAGGATGATTAGGACCATGGGCCTGAGTGCAGGTGTCTGAGATGGTCTGCACTTGGCTGTGCTGGGGGAGGAGGTCTTTTGCTCCACCCCTTGGCGTCTCTATAAAAACCCTGGGGCAGAGACAGTCGGGGGCCCATTGGAATAGGTTTCAGGCCCTCTCGAGGCTATCCTTTATTTTCTATCTGTTTATCTCTGCAAGATTCTCCGCAATAAATCCTTCTATCTAATATTTCCTGCTGCTCACACTCAAGAAAACTCTGGGGAACTGTGGGGTTGGTGGGTAAACGGCCCACACTAGTTCTGAGGTTTGGGTCTCCTTTCTTACTAGTCTGGCTGTATTTGTCTTGTGGGACTCTGTATCTAATGGCTTGAGTCAGATATGGCAGGGTTGTTCTTTCTGGGATGACTGCAAAGCTTTCATTTACCTAGTGATTTCACAGGGACTACAATTCTAAATATCAGAAGGCTCCCGGTGGGATGGTCGTAATTTATTTTATTTTATTTTTATTTATTTATTTTTTTTTGGTTTTTCGAGACAGGGTTTCTCTGTGTAGCTTTGCGCCTTTCCTGGAACTCACTTGGTAGCCCAGGCTGGCCTCGAACTCACAGCGATCCGCCTGGCTCTGCCTCCCGAGTGCTGGGATTAAAGGCGTGCGCTACCACCGCCCGGCCGTAATTTATTTTTGATTGGCATTCAACCAGTACCTGAATGACGACTCAGCCTTGGATCCTATATCTGTTCTGTGGGCATCCTTAGGTCTTAATTATGGATGGGAAAGTCACATTATTTTTCTAAGTAGAGAAGACGAAATCATAATTGTTAAATTCTGGCAAAGCTTCATGGAGTTGTTTCTCACATCTTTTCCCTTCTTTTTATGTTTTAAAAAGCCCATTTCCTCTAAATGCTATGGAAGTTGATTCCATTAAAAATAGTGTGTACTAGGTGACACTGGAGAATTGTTGGGATTCAGACTGAAGTTATTTGAATAATTAATTTTCTCAAAATTACCATGAATGGTTCTTATGTTATGAAAGAGGAACTCCATTTCTTTTTTTTTTTTTCAAAGATTTATTTATTATGTATACAGTGTTCTGTCTGCACATATCCCTGCAGGCCAGAAGAGGGCACCAGATCTCATTATAGATGGTTGTGAGCCACCATGTGGTTGCTGGGAATTGAACTCAGGACCTCTGGAAGAACAGCCAGTGCTCCTAACCGCTGAGCCATCTCTCCAGCCCGGAACTCCATTTCTTAGGCCTCTGCAGAGTGGCTGTGGTAGGGATTGGGCATCTTAATATTTCCCCCTTTGCATTTTGAGAAGCTTCACACTTGGCAGAGAAGTGTGTTGAATCAGCTTTTGAAAGACTGCCACTTCAGGTGAGAGAGCTTGCTATGTAGGCCTGACATTTGACCCACAGTGGAAGGAGAGAACCAACTCCAAACGTTGTCCTTTGACCTTCATACACATGCCATGGCAAGTGTGTGTACACTGACACACACCATACACACCACAATATTGCTTAAGACTATCGCTTCAATTCAGTAGTTGCTACCATTTTACTACATTAGTCTCTTTCCATCTCACTGTGCATGCAGGTATATTATGTGCATATTGTATATCTACTTTGTGATAAACTATTGGGAATTAAGATATAGACACTATGACATTCTTAAATATTTCAGCATGTATTTCCTAGGAGTACAGATGTCCTTTGTGACTAGAATATTCTTTTTATGTCCTTAAATTAACCAGTCGTCCCCCAAAATTCTTAGTTGTTTTTTGGTAATAATTATAACTTGTAACTTTCATTTTTGAACCAGGAACCAATTAGAAATTACATTTTGTTGTCATTTTAGACTCCTTTAAATTAATGTAGTACCATACCCTCACTTTTAAAAATGCTGTTAACATTTTAGAATGGTTAAGAGTGGTTGTTTTACTCAGAATGCTTTAATGTCCTGTAGAATGTATTTCGTGATTTAGTGGCGGTCAGATGCTTTGGCAGGAATACTGCACAGATGGAATTCTTCAGTGGTAAGGTCCTATCACAGCAGTGATGGGTGCTCCGTTATTAGAGATTACTTGGTGAAGTTAGAGACAAAATAGTTCCAGAACATAAGGATTGCCATTAGCATCGAACTCACTAAACAGGCTCAGTGTTTCTTTGTGGTTGTTTCTGACCTTAGAATACTCCAGGTAAGGAGTACAGCTTGGAACTTGCCTAAGAGGGGTTCGAGTTCAGCTTACTCTGTGATTTTGTCACTATCTACTATCTAGGAGTCTTGATCAGGTTAAAGAATTAAAAGGCAGGGCTCTCTGCTCTCTGCTCTGCTCTGCTCCCTCCCCCCAGGCCTGGCTTCCCTCTCTCTCCCACCCCCTTTCCCTTTTAATAAAGCTCTAAAAACTAAAAAGAAAAAAAAAAGGCAGGAAAAAAAATCTTGATCTCTGCAGATGACAGCCAGCAAATTCTCAAACAGTCCCAACTTAGAAAGGCGCATATGTTCTTTTTTTCTTTTCTTTCTCCCTTACCCAGAAGGTAGCAGGATGCTAATATTTAGTTCTGGATTTGTTACTGGAATTAAGGTCAGAACCTGAGTCCTAGCAGCCCTAACAAGTAAAGTTGGCCAGCCATTCTCAGTAGTTCAATTAAAGACATAATTAACATTGAAACATTTGGGCTAGGAGGATGGCTCAATTGCTAAGGTTTTTACTGTACAGTTTAGATCCGTAGTACCCACTTAAAAGCTCTATGTGGCAGCAGGTATGCTTCTGTAACCACATTCAAGGATGGGGACTAATTGGTGTGTACACAGATGTGCTGATCTCTGGAACTAATTGGCCAGTGAGCTTGGGTTAATGAGAGACCCTGTCTTCAAAATTTAGGTGGAGTTAAGGTAGAGAGTGATTAAGGAAAACACTCAATGTTGACCTCTGAACTCCACATACATGCTGTGTCACAAGCATGTGAATCACATACATTGTATACACACGCATGCGCGCGCGCGCACACACACACACACACACACGGGGGGGGGGGGGGGGGGTCCTTTACTGCTACTCTAACATGGCCACATTGGGAAGAACAAAGAGGCCAAGTGACACCTCCGCCCAAGTCCATCTTCATGCTCCTAACAAGAGGGTTGCATTTCAATTGATGGCAAGAGGTGTGCACAGATAGCTAAGCCATTTCTGTCAAGCTGTGGCCACCTATCATTGTCTCTGCTCGTGTCTTAAGGTGGTCTGACAAGTCAGAACTGTGTGGAATCTGTTTCTGGATGAGCTCCCTCCTGCTGGTACCAGGGTGGGTTTGTTTCTTTCTCCCAGCATGAGGCTCCTAGAGAAATTCCATTTCCTTGGGGTTCAGTGTCTCACGAGTCTGATGTGTGTCTTGTAGAATGCTTGCTAGGCTAGGTACAGATTGAGAGTGATATAAGGCACAACCAACTAGTCTCAAGAAAATAAAGCCATGCTTAACCAAAGTTTGTACATGACCTGCCTGCCTTTGGGATTCGGCTTGCTCATCAGCCACCTTGGAAGATATTCTTGAACTCTCTCGCTGACGTCTTCCTCCTACTTACGTGTTCCTTCATTCTTGTAATGTTCACTAAGCAGCTTTTGTTATAGCACCATCTCATACTGAGGGTAGTTTTGGCTTTAACTAAACTTTTCTATCACAAGCTTCTTCAGGGAATGTATCTTTGTCTCTGGATTCTTGATGGGCAGAAAAATGCCTACTTTCCAGTAGTGGGTGATAAACAAACGTAGCCTGAGTGAGTGACCTGCATGTAACAAATGACTTAATATTAAAAATCAGCAGAAAACTGGGCACGGTGACATCACTGGGAAAGCAGAAGCAGGTAGATCTGAGTTCAAGGCCAGCCTGGTTTACACAGTGGGTTCCAGGCCAGCCAGGGCTGCACAGATCCTCTTTATTGGGTGGCCGTGAGGGAATGCTAGAGGCTTGAGACAGGATTTTAAGTTGCTTAGGCTGGCCTTTAATTTTCTATCCACCCGAGGCTTGCTTGATCTCTGGATCTTATGCCTGTCCTCCTGGGTGGTGCGATCATGGGCATACACACCACCAAATGAAACCTGAGATCCTTTTGAAGATTTGCAGCCGGGGGCTGCCCAGCTGTTCACTTGATCCTGGACTCGAATATTGTATGTGCAGTGGGTGTAAGGGAAGATGGAGATCATGCCTTTTCCATTCTTCTGTGGAATACTTGTTCTGTTTGGTACAGGTCTTGCTTGTGTCAGCCGATCCACTGAGCCATAGAATCTGGTTACAATGTGTCCTGAGAGACAAGAAACTGAATATTTTTGAATTGCTGGTAGGAACAGCAAAAAATGAGTTCCTATACTTGTCTCATTGCCTGGCTCTTGCTGAATATATAGAAAGGCTGCAATAAAAAACAGGGTGGGGCTGGTGGAGTTTGAGATGCTCTGCAGGGGAATATGCTTGACCTTAATATAATACCTGGAAGCGCTATAAACATGGAAGCCAAGAATGGACTCCACAAAGTTGTCCTCTGGTCTCCACACACATGCTGTGTCACATACAGGTTCACATCACGATAAATAAATGTATAAAATATTAGTTATGAGCTGTGTGTGTGTTTTTAGAAGTCTTACATTGTTTTATAACATACTCCCCCATCATCAAATGTCATTTTATTTGGCCTTGTTTTTCTCTGATGGTTGTTACTAAACTAGAATTACCTTCCTAGCTGTGATTAGCATCTGTTTCTGTTTTAGGCGGTGCTGATGCAGTCCCGTGAACAGGTTTCAGAAGAGCTGGTGAGGTTACAGAAAGACAATGACAGCCTCCAGGGAAAGCATAGCTTACATGTATCATTACAGCTAGCAGAAAACTTCATTCTCCCAGATACTGTGGAGGTAATGTATTTGCCACATCATCAAAAACATACAAAAAGTGTACTTTTTGTAATGGTTGTAAGTTCCTTAAAAACAAACACCAAACTTTATTGATAAATTTCTTATGCCTGACAGTTCCACCTTTAAAAATGTAATTCATCGTGTAGCATGGTGATAGGTAAATGTCAATTTTAAAACTTGTTTTGTCTTTGTCTTTGAAATATCGTCTGAGTATGTAGTGCAGTTCCAGCCTCAAACTCAAGATCCTGCCTCTGTCTCCCCAGTGCTGGGATTACAGATGTGTGCTGTCTCATCCCGCCGTTTTAGAACATTTCCATCACTGCAGAAGGAAAGCTCACTCAGGGCTGGAGAGATAGCTCAGTGGTTAAGAGCGTTCGCTGCTCTTCAGAGGACCTGGGTTTGATTTGTCTATATGTCCAGTCCCAGGGTATCAGATACCTCTCGCCTCTGTAGGCACCACTTATGTGTGTACTGACATACATGTAAGCAGAAATCCCATACACATTAAAAAAACAAAACAAAGCAAAACCCAATCAAACAAACAAACTTTCCTCCTTACCCTTTAGGGATTGCTTCTATTCCCTTTATCCCCAGTCTAGAGAACTAATGATCGGCCTCTGTCTGTAAATGTTTCCTTAGTCTTTTGTATTTGCTTTGGCTTCTTTCATTTAGCATGTTTTCAAGATTCTACCATGTTGTAGCAAATATTGACCTTTAATTACTTTTTATGGCTGAATAATAATACTGCATTGTATAGATGTTTTGTTTATTCATCTGTTGGTGGATATTTAAGTCATTACCAGTTGTGAATATCCATGTACAGGATCTAGTAAGACATGCTTTCATTTCTCCTGAATATATACCTAATAGTATAGAGTTGCTGTATCATATGAGAACTTGGATAATTTTGGTAATTTGTGTGGAACTACCCTATTGTTTTATTTCTTGAATTAGTATATGTCAATTATACAACAGTGGGTTTTCATTGTGACATTTTCATACATGCATATAATATACATTGATCATGTTTTGTCTTATTCCATCTCTTATCCCCACTTCCACTGGTCTTTCTCTTCTTCCCAAATAGTCTTCTTTCTTTCTGTCTTAAAAACAATCTAGATTCTGCCTAGGAGAGACAACATTTGTTTTTCTCAGTCTAGCTTATTTTCCTTACTGTGATGATCTTCATTTCCATCCGTGTCCTTCATATAACATAATTTTACTCTTTCTTGTGTAGACTGCCACATTTTCTTTATTTGTTGAATACCTGTGATAAAAGCTTGCTAAGATAGTACTAGTGCAGCAGTAAACATGGGCTTTTCTAGTGTTCGCTGGATTTGATTCCTCAGGGGTACACCCAGGAACAGCACAGATGGATTATTTGGTAGTTCTGTTTTGGGTGGTCTTTACTGTGTAGTCCTGGCTAGCCTAGAACTCACTATATAGACCAAGATGGCCTTGAACTCACAGGGATTCTCCTGACACTGCCTTCTGAGTGATGGGATTAAGGCCTATGTCACTATGCCCAGCCTAAATTTGTTTGTTTGTTTATTTGTTTTTCTGAAACAGGGTTTCTCTGTGTAACTACCCTGGCAGGCTGGCCTGGAATTCACAGAGGTCCACCTGCCTCTGCCTCTTGAGTATTGGGATCAAAGGCATGTGCTGTGAATACCACCCACCTGGTCTAAGTTTATTTTGTGAAGAACCTCTGTATTGTGATGTTCACAGTGGTTGAACATTCTTACCCAAATGCTTTTAAGGGTCTTGTTTTTCCTTATATCCATGTCAACATTTACTGGTTTATTAGTATTGCTTTTATTTATTTATTTTTTTGGAGACAGGGCTTCTCTGTGTAGCCTTAGCTGTCCTGGAACTGGCTTTGTTGACTACAATGGTCTTGAACTCACAGAGATCTGCCAGTCTCTGGCAGTGCTGGCATTAAAGACGTGCACCACCAAGCCCAGCTTGTTTACATTGTTTATGATACTCTTCTGATTGAGGTGAGATGGAACCTCAGTCTAGTTTTTGTATTTCCTTGATGACTAAGGGTGTTGAACATTTTTTTTTTCTTCTTGCATTTGCTTCTCGCTTATAATTCTTTGGAGAATAGTCTGTTCAATTTGTTGATTCAATTATTTTTTTTAAGTGTTGATTTTATGTGTGTGTGTTCTTTATATAATTGTCTGTGTATTAATCTTGCAATAGTTACTTTTTCATTGCTTTGGCAAAATGCCCAACAAAAGCAGTTTGTTTATGGGAGGGCAGCTTTACTCCAGTTGCAGTCCTTCATGTCCATGAGGCAGCTGGTCATAGTGCCTCCTCAGTCAGAAAGCAGAAAGGTAGGAAGTAGAGCTGGTTCAGAAACCTCAAAACTTACCCCAAGCACCCAATTTGTTCCATGTTGATGACTAAGTATTCAGACACACAACCTTTGGGGGTATTTTACATTCAAACCGCAACATTTCACCCCTGTGTAGCTTGTCTTTTTACTCTCTGTCTGCTGCTTTTCTGGAAGAGCCCTTTAGTTTCCTGCAGTCTTGTTGTCAGTTCCTGTTTCCGGAGCCTTCGGGGCCATATTCAGGAAGCTTTGTTGCTGTAGGGTCCGCACTCCCCTCACCCCCTTCCCCAGACAGGGTTTATCTGTCTAACAACCCTAGCTGACCTGGAACTCAGTTTGTAGACCAGGCTGGGCCTTGTACTCACAGAGATCCACCTGCCTCTGCCTCCCAGTGCTGGGATTAAAGGCGTGAGCCATCCCTGCCTGGCTGTGTTGCTGTAGTTTTAAGCATTGTACTTCTGCTCAGGATTGCTTTTGCCTTCAGGTCTTCAGTGCTTCCAAATACATTTAGAATTCCTTCCTTCCCTTGTCTATGAGGAATGTCATTGGAATTTTTTTGGGTATTGCATTGAACCTATAGGAAATTTTTTAATAATATGGCAGTTTTCAAAATACTAGTTCTACTAAGCCATGGGGCAGTTTTTGATTTCTAGTGTCTTCAGTTTATTTTCTGTGCTTTCCTTACAGCTTTCATTTTAGAGGGCTTCCAACTTCTTGGTTAGGTTTATTCCTATGGTTTTTGTTGTTTGTTTGTTTTTGTTTTTACACCATTGAGAAGAGAATTGTTTTCCTTATTTCTTTCTGAGCTTGCTGGTTATTGATATATAGGAGAACTACTGATTTGTCTATGTTAAATTTTGTTTCTACTTTTATTTCATTGAAAGAGTTTACTGGTGATGTCTTTTAGGCCTTTCAAGTATAGAATTCTGTCATCTGCAGATAGGGATAATTTGACTTCCATTTTATTTATCTATCTTGCTTTATTGCTGGGTAAGAATTAAGCATTATGATGAGTAAAAGTGGAGAGGTGATACCCTTGTCTCACTCATGTTATAGTAAATGCTTTTAAGTTTTTTTTTTTCATTTAATATAACTTGGCTTATTGTATAAAACCTTTAGAATGGTAAAGTATGATCATTTGGTTTGAGTGTACATGTTTATTTGTGAGTCATGTGCACACGTGGAGGCCAGAGGTTGACAGCAGGTTAACTGCCTTAATCTCTAGAGCTTTTGAGACAGGATCACTCACTGAACCTGGAGCCCATCAATTTGGTTAGACAGTTTGGCCAGTGAGCCATGAGGACCCTCCTGTGTCTGCTTCCCTGGCACTAGGATCACAAGCCTTTACCACCAAACTTTGCTTCTAGCTGAGTGCTGGGATCCAGATGCAGGTCCTCATGCTGTGTAGCATATGTTTTACTGACTGGGCTGTCTTTCCAACCCTGTAGTCCTAGTTTATCAGGTGTTTATTGTGAAAGTGTGTTGAATTTTCTTAAAAGCCCTTTCTGCAGCTATTGAATGGTCATGTGATTTTTATTTTTGGTTCTCTTCATGTGCTATATCTTATTGATTTGCACATATTGTTGAATAATCTTTATCATTTTTGAATTTTATTTGTTTATTTATATTTATTTTTACGTATATAGGTGTTTTGCTTGTGTGTATGTCTGTGTACCATGAGGCTTCAAGAAGGAGTCAAGAGCCCCTGAGACTAGAATTAAGGACAATTTTGAACCACCATGTGGGTTCTGGGAATCAAACCTGGGTTCTTTGGAAGAGCAGCCAGGCCTCTTACTGCTGAGCCATCTTTCCAGCCCCCAAAAGGAACTCTTTTTTTTTTTTTTTTTTTTTTTTTTGGTTTTTCGAGACAGGGTTTCTCTGTGTAGCTTTTAGCCTTTCCTGGATCTCGCTCTGTAGACCAGACTGACCTCAAACTCACAGAGATCCACCTGCCTCTTGCCTCCTGAGTGCTGGGATTAAAGGCGTGCGCCACCAACACCCAGGAACTCTTTTATTTATTTTTATTATTTATGTGTATGAGTGTTTTGCCTGAATGTATGTATCTATCACATGCATGTCTGGTGCCTTCAGAGGTCAGAAGAGGGTGTCAGATTCCCTGGACTGGAGTTACTAGGTTGTAAACTACCACATTGGCATTAGGAATCAAACTCTAGTTCTTTACAAGAGCAATAAGCGCTCTTAACCACTTAGCCCACTTTCTAGCCATTTGTATTTTATTGAGGATTTTTACAGTTGTGTATCAAAGTAATTGGTCTATAGTTTTTTGGTTTCTTTTTTTTTTTTTTTTAATGTTCTTACCTGGTTTTAGTATTAGGCTAATACTAGTTTCATACTGTGTTTGGAAGGTTCCTTCCTTTATGTTTTAGGGGTAGTTTGTGGAGGATTGGTATTTTTCTTGCAGGTCTGGTAGCATTCTGAAATGACTGTCTTCTCCAGGGCTTTTTTTCCGCCCACCCTGGGAGACTGTTCCTTACCTTGGTACTTCACAGATCTGCTGAAGTTGCTTCTGTTCTTGGTCCAGTTTGGGTGTGTCATATGCCTCTATGAACTTATCCACCTTTCCCAGACTTCCCAAGCTACTGGAATTTAAATTAAAAACTTCCCCTAGTGGTCTTTTGGATATTAGTAATGGCTGTTGTAATATCCCCTTTTCACCTCTAATTTTATAATTTGGGTGACACCTCCCCCCTTGGGTTACTTTAGCTAAATGTTTGCAAATCTCATTTCTCTTTCCTTTTTTTTTTTTTTTTTGAGACACGGTTTCTCTGTGTAGTTTTGGTGCCTGTCCTGGATCACACTCTGTAGACCAGGCTGGCCTTGAACTCACAGAGATCCGCCTGGCTCTGCCTCCTGAGTGCTGGGATTAAAGGCGTGTGCCACTACCACCTGGCTCCTTTTTTTTTTTCTTTATTTTTATTTTTGTTTTATTTTTTGAGACTAGGTCTCTCTGTGTCGCACTGGCTGTTCTGGAACTCACTCTGTAGCCCAGGCTGGCCTTGAACACACAGAGATCCGCCTGCCTCTGCCTCCCGAGTTGCTGGGATTAAAGGTGTGCACCCCCCTACAACTTCCCCCCATCCCCCAGCTTATTTCTCTTTTCAAAGAACAGATTCTATTAATTGATCTTTTATATTTCCTTTTAGTCTCTGTTTCATTAATTTCTACCTTGATCATTAGTATTTCTTTGTATCTATTAATCGGGTTTGGCTTGTTCTTGTTTCTTAGGCCTTGAAGTGTGCTGTTAGGTTATTTACTTGAGATCTTTCTGATTATTTAATATAGATACTCAGCTGTGAGCTTCCCTCTTAGCATTGTGTTTGCTGTATCCAAAAAGTTTTGTTAAGTTTTATTTCCATGTTGATTGACTCTACGAATTTAAAATTTCATCTGTTTTCTATTTTTTTTTTTTTTTTTGGTTTTTTGAGACAGGGTTTCTCTGTAGCTTTGCGCCTTTCCTGGAACTCACTTGGTAGCCCAGGCTAGCCTCAAACTCATAGAGATCCGCCTGCCTCTGCCTCCTGAGTGCTGGGATTAAAGGCGTGCACTACCATCGCCCGGCTCATCTGATTTCTAAAAGGGCCATTCAGAAATATATTTTTCATTTCCCGTTTTTTGTATAGTTTTCATGGTTTCTCTTACTGTTGATTTCTAATTTATTCTATTACAAACTATTTCAGATTTTAAAATTGATATATTTCATTAGTCTAAAATGTGATCTATTAGGCCAGTGAGATGGCCCAGTGGGTAGAAGTGCTAGTTTCATTTGGTGTGATGGTGCATGCCTTTAATATGAGCACTTAGGACATGTGAGTTCCAGCCTAGCCTGGTCTACATAGTGAGTTCTAGGCCAGCCAGGGCTACATAATGAGATCTTGCCTGGGGGTGGGGAGTGGAGTGCTTGTCTCCAAGACTGATGACCAGAGTTCAGTTCTGGATCTCAAGGTGGAAGAAGACAGTTGACCCATGAAAGCTGTCCTCTGACCTCCATATGCACACCACATACACACACATAATAACTTTATTCTCCCCCCCCCCCCCAAGCTGAGGACTGAACCTTGCGCTTGCTAGGCAGGCGCTGTACCACTGTGCTAAATCCCCAACCCCAATAACTTTATTTTTAAACATCTATTTTGGAGAAAGTTCCATGGGCTGCTGAGAAGAATGTTCTTAGCCTCTGAGCCATCTCTCCAGCCCCCTTTGGCCACTTTTGGCTTAAAATCTGCTTTGTCAAATGAATGCAGTTGGGATTAAAGGTGTGTGCCACCATGTCTGGTACTTGGATTTTAAAATATGGCTTTGCTGGATTTGTAATTTTGGTTGGAATTTATTTGAAATACATTAGCCCGTTCTCCTGGCTTCTGTGGTTTCTCTTGAGAGGTCTGCTGTTACTCTACTAGGTTTGTCTTGTCAGTTGGCACTTCCCTTGTGAGGGCCTGGGTTGGAGCCGTAGACTATTTCTTTGCTCTGCTCTGCCTTTCATTTTCTTATGCTTGTTCATTGTCCTGTCCTTCTTGATTGGTGATGTCCTTTTTTCTCTGGAATATGGCTGTCACTTGATACCTTCTCATCCCCCCAGCTGAATGGAGGAAGGTTCTGGTTCACCATTTTACACCAGAAGAACCATTAAACTGTTTTTTCCCCCTGGAACTTGGGAGGCAGAGGCAGGTGGATCTCTGTGAGTTTGGGGCCAGCCAGGCCCACGTAGTGAGACTCTGTCTTTAAACTCTGCCACCGTTTTCTCTTCCCAGTGGCAGGGCATCTGACTGAGTCTTCATCCTTGCTAGCATGGCTAGTTACTTCACTTTCAGACTATAATCATTCTAGTGGACATGAAATGGTATCTCATTGTGGTTTCAATTTGCATTTCCCTAATTCTGGTGGCATGAAGCATCTTCTCATGTACTAATGTGTGATTTCTATATCTTCCCTGGAGAAATTCCCAGATTCTTTGCTCATTTTAAAACTGGATTATTTGTCTTACTGACTTATATGAGTTCTTCATATGTTCTAATCAACCCATGGTTTGCAGACATTTTTTTCTGATCTCTGGGCTATCTTTTTAATTTTTTTTAGTCGAATTATTTGAGGTATAATTTTTTTTTTTTAACATTTTGATGAAGTCCAAGTTTGTATATTTTTTGTGTTGCTTGTGTTTTCGGTGTTGAACTCCACTGCCGAAGTTCAAGGTCTTGCTTTTGTCATGGAGGACCAAATGTAGAACAAGCCATATGCTTAACTTTACCAGGTTGGTTCTTTGTGATGCTTGCTTTTGGGTAAAATTTAAAGTTATATCATACTCACCGTCTTTCTGTCTGTCAAGATGGTATTTTTTTTTGCCACTTGTATTCTTCTGTGGTATGGAAATGACTTTCTTAACTCTAAGCATTATAACTATGTATTTCTAAATCTTTCAACATCAAAAAAAATTTTTTTTGTTAGGCTTAGAACCCTCAAACTCAGTGCTGCCTAGATAAAGATAAGATTTCTTAGAACAAGTTTCAAAACAAAATAAGAGAATCTTATTTTCGAGGTCTTTTTCTTCCTCTCCCTCCCCCCAGGGTTTCTCTAGTTGTCCTGGAACTTGCTCTGTAGACCAGGCTGGCCTCAAACTCTGATGTGCCTGCTTCTGTCTCCCAAGTGCTGGGATTAAAGGCCTGTGCTACCCACCTGGCTTTGTTTTCTTCTTTAAAAAAAAAAAAAAAAAAAAAAAAAGAAAGAAAGAAAGAAAGAAAGAAAGAAAGAAAGAAAGAAAGAAAAAGAAAATAAATCTGGGCTGGTGAGAAGCCTAGGTGCCTGCTGCCAAGTCTGCCAGAGTCCCTAGGACTCACATGCTGGAAGGAGAACACCTCCTCACACATGCCATATGCCAGGGCCTGTATACTCACTCACGTGTGCAAACATAAAATAGTGAATGAAAATTGTTATTGTTTGAAATTATTTAAAAATTAAATATGAGCTGGTTACAGTGATTTAGCCCTTTAATCTCAACACTTGGAATGCTGGGACAGGAGGATGGCTGTGTGTTTGAGGTGCTAGTGCTACATAGTAAGTTCTAGGCCAGCCCTATACATGAGACTCTGTCTCAATGTATCATAAATTCATCTTTTTATAAGTTTCTTGTAGTCCTGTCTTTCCTTAAATCCTATCAGATTTAAGTTCTACCTATTTTTTTTCTATGCACATATTAACATTACTATTAGTGGTTTGTTGTTGTTTTACTTTTAAAGATACAGTTGTTTATCATGCCCCGCACTGCTCACAGCTGTGGTCTATCCTAGGCCTGTACTCTGGATCTTTTCTTAACTGGTAATTACTGATACAGAAGGCTTGGGAAACTCATGCCTTAGCCGTGAGTTTTAAATAACTTCACCACCACCTTCACCTTTAGTAAAACTTTCCTTTTGGCTGGAAAAAGTTCTGTTCTCTAGAGAATTTTTATTCCTAGATTTAAAAGCTATCTAAGATGAGCATGGTGTTGCTTTCCTGCAATCCCAACACTCTAGAGACTAAGGCAAGAGTTCATGAATTTGAGGCTAGATGGGCTATGTAGGGAGTCCAGGCCAGCCTAGGCAACTTAGGTAAGCCTCATCCCCAAAACCTAGATGAATGTAAGTAATTAGAGAGCTATTTGGGAATGGTAATTTGGGTTTGCTCGAGGAAATGATTAAATTTCCAGATTTAAAATTTTTGGGAAAAGAAGCCAGATATGATGGCATATGCTTGTAATTCCAGCACTTGGGAGGCAAAGGCAGGTGGAGCTTTATGAGTTTGATGCCGGCCTTTCTCAACAAAACAAAAATGGTGGTGGGGGCATGTAAGCTTGTCACCTTAGAAAGCCTTTCTTTGTGAGGTCGGTGGGTCATTACTTATTGACACAGTACTTTGCCTAAGAAGATTTTCAGTGAGCGTTTGAATGTATGAAGAGGTAAGTAAATGTATTTTATCCTTCATTTACACTTGTTCCTGGGTGTTTCTCTTTTTATCTTCTTGAAGGTATTCTTCCTAGTGAGTTTCGTGTGGAAAGTTATGTAACATTATATTTTTTTCTGCTCATAAAACAGCTTTGAGGGGAAAATGTAGTTCACAACTTTTTGGCCATGTTGGATGTTAATATGCCAAGGCATGTGCTTGCAGAACACTATGTGGTCATTGAAATTCACGGTCAAAATATTTGAATCATGTGAAACATAAATCTTCAGCTTCTCTCACCTTCACAAATCCAGGAACCTCTTGTGTGCTGAATGCAGGTGCTCCGGGAACTGGTGTTAAAATATCGTGAGAACATCGTTCATGTGCGGACTGCAGCAGACCACATGGAAGAGAAGCTGAAGGCCGAGATACTTTTCCTGAAAGAGCAGATTCAAGCAGAACAGTGTTTAAAGGAAAACCTTGAAGAGACTCTACAGCTGGAAATAGAAAACTGCAAGGAGGAAATAGGTGAGAAAAAAATGTCGCTTGGGGACTGGGAATGTAGCTTTGTTGGTATAGTGCTTGCCTGGATACAGGAAGATCAGAAGTTCAAGGCTAGCCAGAACTACAGGAGACTATCTTATAAAGCAAGCTAACAAACAAAAAGCGATTCATCAGTAAATAATACTGAGAATAATGTCTGACCATGGATGTAGAGAGCACTTGTATAGGAAAGAACACCTGTCCTAGGTGTTCAGATGGACAGTAACTGTGAACTCGTCCTGCCTCTCAATCTTCTGTCCTTTTATGAACTCTGATGGTAATGGAGCCAAAGGCTACTGGGTGACAGGGTCCCACGGGCAGCATTTCCTTACAGAACTTCGTTGCTAACAGCATTGCTTTCCTACAGTTAGGTGTGGACACTTGGTAGAAATTGAGGTTACCACACAGTGTGCGTGTGTAGTTGGCCTTTCCCTGAGCCTAGTTATATTATCAGTTCTCTGGTATAGTTTGAGAGAGAGCACTTTCCTCTACAGTGTATCTCTGACTCCTTTGGGGACATTTTAAGGGGAAAAAAGTGAAAAAAATAATAAATGATTGCTAACATTTCTCCCTTTTGTCCTAGCTTCCATTTCTAGTCTAAAAGCTGAATTAGAAAGAATAAAAGTTGAAAAGGGACAGGTGAGTCACAAGTTTAAAATAAATTCTATCAACATGCAGTGGTTACTTATTAAATCCTATGCTAGAACAAAGAAATGAAGATAGCTGAGGCATAATCCCTGCTTTTAAGAAACTTGTGTCTAGTGGGAACACGTTGGAGAACATGGGTTGAGAATCACTGTGTGCTGGGCCATGTGGTGATGGGCAGTGTGGATGCAGAGGAACCTCCCCTGGCGTGCTCACTCCATGACTGTGCTGCACTGCAAGTGTGGGTACAGTTGTAACCCCAGGACATGATGTTTCCTCACTCCCTCAGCAGTGTGGTAGACGAGCCCATGCTGCCCCTAGCCTCTGAGTACTTGACTCAAAGCCCTTTGCCTCCGGTGCTGGCCCGCTTGTCATGCTGGCTCTACCTTGCTTCTCATTCTTTGACTCCAGTCTCTTCCTGTTGTACCTGAGTGCCTCTTCCATTTCCCTAAACTTGAAGCAACAACTTCCCGGCTCTGCTTTCTTTCCTCTTAAGCTGCATCTTACATGGCTTACAGGGCTCTTTAGTTGGCTTCCAATCCACACTCTTGTCTTCCAACTCTTTGCTGCCCTCACCCAACTGTTGCCCAGTTCTGGATTAGGACTGTTGTTCCAGGAAGCCAATGCTCCCAGAATTGGTGGCCTCTCATGCCCTTGCTGCCCTGGGCTCCAGTGTTCCTAGGCGGTCTTGGATGTGTCCTAAGATATGCCCCTTCCATTCTTCACAGTAGGTCTTTCAGTCTCTTTCCTTTCAGTCCTTCACTGCTTAGTCATTAGACAGGACCACTTGGAGCCCAGGTTCCCCAGTTACATGCCTCCCACTTTATTATCAGCCTTTCCTTTGAGATAAAGTGATGGCCGGTTTCTCACCATAGTGTAATACTGATAGGTGCCTTCACTGGCCCCTCCCAGTGTTCTCTAACTTTGAACGTCTGCCTCTTGATTGATCTTTCTTCCCATTGTGTACAGAATTGCCCAGCTGTTTCCCATTAAGAGGGAAAAAGTGAGATGGATGTGGGACACACATCTGTAATCCCAGCACTCAAGAAGCTGAGGATTCAAGTTTGAGGCTAGCCTGTGGTACATAGGAAGATGGCCTTTCCAAAGAAAAAACAAAACAAAGTTTCTCCTTGAATTATACATCTCTACTGAGTCATTATTTCTCCAAGGTTCTTGAAAGAGTGCTGTCCTCCACCTGACCTCCCCGGCACTTCTCTACCATTGTCAGCCTTTGTTTCCACTCTGCTATAGAGGTCTCCCTAGATCACACTGCAGAGATGACCAGCACCCAGGCCTGAGGGTGTAGCTCTCTAGAAGAGCACTTTCCTAGCACTGACAAAGAAGATGGATGCCCGGCTCAGAGGGGCCGCCTTTTTCCCTCTACTGTCAGTTTGGGGTCAGACTTGACTTTGTACTTTTTGTTTGGTGGTTCTGAGAATTGAATTCATGTGTATGCTAGGTAAGTACTGTCTGCCTGAGTTACACCCCCAGCTCTGAGATGTCACTTCTCATCAGCCTGTTGTCACAGTCTGTCTTGTTTCCTAAGAGGCCTCTGAACTGGAGCCTGTTCCAGTTCATCTCTGTATTGAAGCCAGGCTGTCTAGTCTTTCTGAAGTCTTTAGCAGTTGAAGACAAGTCCATAGTCCTTAGTGCCGAGGTCTCTCACCTCAGGATTCTCGGGACTTGCAGATTTCCCAGCCCAGCATGGCTTGCTGCAGGCAGCCAGAGCTCACCGTCCTCGGGCAGGGCAGGCATTCTGTTTTTGGAACATCTCTTTACTTTCTTTACCTTGTCACCCTTTCCTTCCCCTGCAAAAATGTTAATCCATGCTGGCAGTGCAAAGAGAGGAAACAGGAGAACCACAGGTTCAAGGCCTGCCTAGGCTACAGAGCTCAAAACCAGTTCAGAACCAGCCTGAACAACAAAACAACAAAATCAAGATCCTGTTTCAAAGGAGTTAGGGGTGGAGATGAGTGGCATGCTTGCCTAGCCTGTGAGACCCCAGGTTCAATCCCCAATACTAAAAGCAAAAGTCAGTCATCATCTCTTCTAGAAAATATTGTCCAATTTCCTCCCTGTATTAAATGCTGCTCCCTTTATGTTGATATGCATTAGTTATTTCCATGTCTGTTTCTCCTGACTTCTCAGTTTCAGGCCTTAGTATGAGAATATGGTAGGTACCTAATATAGGTCAAGACCAGGTTTGGAAGAACAAAAAGAATCTACACTCTGAAGCTTGAGAAGAGCATTCCAGACACAGCCAAGAGCAAGCCTGAGTCTGAGCACAGCACTCTGGGTTGCAGCAGACACTTCTAGATAGTACTGTATAGCCTTCAAAGTTTCTGTGAGTTTCAGTTTTCCCTTTTGATTCCCTTTTTACAGTTGGAATCTACATTAAAAGAGAAGTCACAACAACTTGAGAGTCTCCAAGAAATAAAGGTTAATTTAGAGGAACAGTTAAAGAAAGAAACTGCTGCTAAGGTAATTATGTTTATTGGTCATCTGATTTAAAAAACAAGGCTAAGCATGGCCGCACAAACCTTTAATCCCAGCACTCAGGAGGCAGAGGCAGGTAGATCTCTGTGAGTTCAAGGCCAGCCTGGTCTACAGAGTGAGACCCTTTCTCAAGCAACCAAAAATTACAAAAAACAAAGTGGCCTAGAGAGATGGGCTAGTGGTTAGAGCTCTGGCTACTCTCAGAGGACATGTTGTATTACAACAATCTTTTTAACTCTAGTCACAGGGGGATCCAGTGCCGCCTTCTAGCCTCCATGGGTATTGCAGGCATATGGTACACAGGCATATGTATACATAAAACACCCATACACACATATTTTTAAAAACTTAAAAAAAAAAAAGGAATGTAGGAATTCATCATATCTATTTAGAAAAACCACAACTTTTCTGTTTGCAGTTATATTCTGAAAGTTAGTTCTTCTAGCCACTTGCAAAAAGAAAATGACTTTAATGTCTCTAGAGTTGGGTTAAATCTTTCCTCTGCCAGTTCTGGGGGCTTAGGTCATAGGCTTTAATGGTTTCAGGTGGTTGATAAGAATCACTGAACCTAGAGCTGGAGAGATGGCTCAGTAGTTAAGAACACTGGCTACTTTTATACTGGACTCTAGTGTTCAATTCTCAGCACGCATATGGTGGCTCACAACAGTCTGTAACTCCAGTTGCAGATTTGACATACTTTTCTGGCATATACATTGTGCACATACACATATGCAAGCAATCACTTATACATACAAAATTCAATAAACATTTATTGAGCATAACTTGGGCAGTGCTCTGAGCTGAGTTTAGTTGTAGACCACTTGCCTAGCATGTGTGAGGCCCTAGTTTCTTTTTTTTTCTTTTTTCAAGATTTATTTATTTATTATGTATAGTGTTCTGTCTGCATGCATATCTGCACGCCAGAAGAGGACACCAGATCTCATTATGATGGATGTGAGCCACCATGTGGTTGCTGGGAATTGAACTCAGGACCTCTGGAAGATCTTAACCTCTGAGCCATCTCTCCAGCCCGAGGCCCTAGTTTCAATCCCCAGACATGGAAGGAGGAGAGGCTGCTTTGAAAATGTTACTCCATTCCATCCCTATATCAAATGCTAAGATTGCCTTGAAGCAGATTTCCAGATTGTCTTGGGGCTGTGTAGAATAAAAATGCATGTGGCTGATTATGGTTTTTTTGTTTTGTTTTGTTTTGTTTTGGTTTTCCGAGACAGAGTTTCTCTGTGTAGCTTTGCGCCTTTCCTGGAACTCACTTGGTAGCCCAGGCTGGCCTTGAACTCACAGAGATCCACCTGCCTCTGCCTCCCGAGTGCTGGGATTAAAGGCGTGCGCCACCACCGCCCGGCTGATTATGGTTTTGATTATGAATTTGAATTATGAAAATGCATTGCCTAGACATGGTCTTAATGAGCTGTGTTAATGGTCAATAGATTCTTGTTTTTTTTTTTTTTTTTTTTTTTTTTTTTTAGAAAAAGGCTCCCATGCTTTTGAATAAGGAAGGTTAGATGTAGCTGGGGCTGAATGGCCCATATTAACTAGATGTTAATCCTAGTAATTGTCAGAGGAATTTCCCTTTTAAGTGTCTATGTGTTGCTGTGACAGCTGTTGATCTTGGGAGTGGGGACATGGCACTCTGAATACATTTCTTATCCTGGTTTCATACCTGGAGCGAGTAACCTACTCAACTGGCGCTGTTGTCCTGTGGAAAGAGAGAATGGGTTGTGGGGGAAATGGATCAGCAGGTAAAGGTGCTTGCTGCCAAGCTGGATAACCAGCATTTGATCCCTGGGGCCCACATAGTGGGAGGGGAGAACCAGCTCTCTTAAAGGTTGCCCTCCTGACCTCCACCAGGGAGTGCTTCCCGCTCCACCCTGCTCCACACACAGTAAATGGAAAAGAAGTAATAGAAGTGGGGGCAAAGCTGGGTTGGTAGAGTGCTTGCCTGGCATGCCAGAGTCCCTGAGGTTTGATCTCCAGTACTGCAGCAGACTGGGTGTGTTAGCAGTCTGTAACCCCACAAGACGGAGGCAGGTAGATCAGAAATTCAAGCTCATTTTCAGCTATAGTAGAGCAAGTTCAGGGGCTAGTTTGGGTTACAGGAGGCCTTGCCTTGAAAAAATAAAGGTGGGAACCAGCAAGGCAGCTAGAGGTACTTGCTGCCAAGCCTGAGTTTAATCCCTGGGGCCCACATGGTGAAAGGAGAGTTGACTCCTGCAACTTGTCCTGGGACTTCCACTTGTGTGCTGTATTATACACACACACACACACACACACACACACACACACACACACACACACACACACACAATCAGTAGAAAAATAAAAATGTAGTTAAAAAAGATTAATGGGGAGGATTGTATGAGCCAGAGGGGTCAGGGTCATCACTAGGGAACCCACAGAAGCAACTGGCCTGTTCATGAGAGCTCAGACTATGGACTGACAGCCAGGGAGCCTGCATAGGACCATCCTAGGCCCTCTACATGTGTGATGGTTGTGTGGCTTGGTCTACTTGTGGGGCTCCTGGCAGTGTGAGCGTGGCCTGTCCCTTTCTTAACAGAGGTGGAGGAGCGGTGGATTGGGGAGGAGGAGACAAAGGGGAGGTGGGAGGAGGGGGAGCTGTGGTTGGGATGTAAAATAAATGAAAAAAATTAATAAGAATTGAAAAAGATTAGTGGAATATGGAGGTATTATTCAGGTCTCTGCTGTAGTAATAGCAAGAGTTGAGGATATAGCTTAGTGGTGTAGAGTGATTGCCTACCAACAAACTATGGCCCTGGGTTCAATCCTTAGTACAAAAAAGAAAGAAAGAGGAAAAACTTACAGCTTCTCTTAGTCAGTAACTAAAGTTCCTAAGTAATTTTAGGAATTCTGACTCTTTGGCATTAATCTTCACTCAAAACTTGTATTTTTTAGGCTACTGTTGAACAGCTCATGTTTGAAGAGAAGAACAAAGCTCAGAGGTTACAGACAGAATTAGATGTCAGTGAACAAGTCCAGAGAGATTTTGTAAAACTTTCTCAGACTCTTCAGGTGAGGTGTTTGGGGAACTACCATGGCCCTCTGCGGGAGGGGGCACCAATGTAGCTGGAGGTCTCTGGACTGCCTCTGTCTCTACCTCAGATATCTGCTTAATCACGCAAGCAGGAGCTTGGTCTGTTACAGACTTGGCCCCTTTCTCCTTTCCCTTCTACCTTGCCAATTTTTGCCTCAAGAGTGTAAATGGTGTGGGTGGAGGGGCAGAGGGATACCAATCTGTTACATAGATCGATGAATCTGGTGAATTTTAAAAGTATGTTTTTTTTTTCTTTCTTTCTTTCTTCCTCTTTTCTTTGAAGAGCCTAATCTGGTGAATTACTCTGCTGCATGTCAACTAAAATGTCAAGTTAGAGGGAACGTAGGTAGGGCATCACCTGCACTCATCTCAACGTTGTTTCTCCAGGTGCAGTTAGAGAGGATCCGGCAAGCAGACTCCTTGGAGAGAATCCGGGCAATTCTGAATGATACCAAACTGACAGACATTAACCAGCTCCCTGAGACATGACACCCTGGTAGCAGGATTCTAACCTGCATTTTGGGTTTTTAACTCATCTTTAGAATAACATTAATTATTATTTAACTCTTAATGGAAGAAGTCACAGCAAAAGGACGACAGGAGAAATGCAAGTCTGGAGGGAGAAGGCTGCTGTGCGCAGGGACAGCCAGCAGATGTTTCAAGGGAACACTAATGGGACACCGGACTTGATTCCAGCAGGTGTGGGATCCGACTTGGTGCCAGAAAAGTGCGGTTTCCTTGCCTGCTTTCTCCAGCACGGATTCTGGAACACATCTCCTGACATGAAAGCAACTCCCCTAGTGTTTGGAATTACGTTTCTGTTCATACAAACTGGGAGAGAGAAGTTTCTTTTTTCTGTTGTCTAGGGCTCATCAGTAGCAGTGTTCAGCTAGCAGAGAAGTGTAGTGTGCTGTATGAGTATTTTATATTAAAATATGAAGTGTGAGAGCAGGCCATTGGCTATTGACTGTATTTCCCTCGCTCAGTGCATTTTTTTTTAACCATTTTATCTTCTATTGGAGGACCTTAAATGCTACTGAAACTTGCCTGAGAACTATAGGACCATGGCAAACAAAAAAGCAATTCAACAAAATTAGGAGAATCTGAATACTTGGCTAAGGCCACATATATTGGAAGTTGAATTGAAGGAAAAAAGCACAAGAAACCTTGGAAGCACTTTTTCTGCACACCGGGATGAACCTCCTGGGCCCACAGGTACCACGGCAAAGGCGAACTGGCACCACTTACCCTTTCGAAGTGTTTTAGTTACTGGATCAGTGGAAAAAATAATATTAATAAAACAAGCTATCTCTGACATCTAGTACACATGTAGAAATCTGCTTATTTTCAGCTTGCCTCAGAGGCATACTATTTAAAGTGTCCCATATAGAATGGTGATGGTTTACAGATCTTTGTGTTTTTGTTTTACAGTTTAGACCTACAGTATAAGTGACCATGCTTACAGTCGAGCTGAGGAAACTTACTAGTTTAGAATCTGCTTCATTCTTTTCCAAGAGTTGAGATTCCTTTCCTGTGTGGAGAAGCAGCCAGTGGATAGCTGTATGAAATGGTGTGGAAATCAGAAGTGTGCTCATTTACTGCGTACCAGCCGCAGACCACCCGGAGAGCAGCCATGGACAGCTAGCTATACTATTAACTCATGCCTTTGAAAGGCACAATGTTTTCAAGTCATGCTTGTGAGTGGTGGTGGCTTACAGCTGGTACCCAAAGGAACACCATGGAAATGAGTGAACTAGACTTTTCAGGCTTACCTACCATCAATTCATAACATAAATGGACTTTGTAGTGAGTCATAAATTTGCCCTCAAGGTCTTTGTTATTTTCTTTCGTAAGACAGATAAGGCCTCTATTACCCCATCCCATAGGTTATTTTTTATAATCTTGTGTTCATGATTATGAATTTAAAAGTAAATATGAATTGCAGAAATAGTGCTAAAGGCTTGCCAATGCATGGAAACATAATTGGCTTAAAGTCCCCTTGTATACAGTACTACTTGGTTTAAAAGAAACATAGTGTCCTCATTGAGTTAAAGGGACTTTATTAATTATAATGTGATTAAATTAGATTTAAGACTAGTCCTTGGGCTCCAAGCTAATTTGTTTTGGATCACTGTCAGCCACAGTGAATGGGTAATTATCATCACTCTGAACTGTCACTCCACGTGAGCTGTTCTGCTGAGACCAAGCATCTTACAGACACTTTTCTCCAGAAGCTGGGGATTGAGCAATAAAGACATCACGATTAGGAGGTTGTTTATACAGTCTGTACTTGTGGCAAATGCAAACTGCTGGAATCCTCTAGAAACACATTCTAGAGGAACAGAAACTAAACTGCTAGTTTTAAACAACCTGTCTGTGGTATGAAATAAACTGCTGCTACACCACCAGGTAGGAAACTGTTCTTTAAACTATGTTCTCTGCATAAGTAAGATGTGGTTTAGAAGGTGGGATTCACCCTGAGAGGAAAGATCAGTCTGGTTTCATACATGTTCCAGTGCTGCATTCAGTCTGTGCAGACCTGTTCTCTTGCATGTCTAACCTGGCTTACCAATAACTCTAACTTATCATGTGGCTTTTGATTGTCAGTCACTCGGTTGTTTCTAGGCAAGTACCATACTTACCTTTCAGAACTCAAACTGGCAGGTATGAAAAGATGACGTAAAGCCGAGGACAGAATACCCATGGCAGAACACACTGTTCCTTCTCCTTTAGGTGCCAGAACACCGAGTAGACATAGCCATAGGCAAACTGAGCTCTGAGAGGTAAGGATGTCTGTGAGGAAATGAGCCAGCAGAGGACTCTGCAGCTGTCTGCTCTGCTCTGCTCTGCTCTGAGCAGACTGCAGGTGTGTCTGTGTTAACTGGACTGAAGGCATGTCCTGAAAGTGTTCACATTAAAAGAGCTGCTGCTGAGGAGACTGTGTGGCCTTTTCCTTTGCATCCTAGGGTTCTGGCTCCCTTCGGAGGTGGTTTTGGTGCTACCACTTAAGATGCAGAGCTTAATCTTCAGATACAGACCTGGCAGTGTGCAGCTGAAGCCTGTGTCCCAGAATTTTGAAAAATAAATCATAGACATTAATTATAATGCAAAGTCAAATTCTGAATAAAAATTTATTCAAATATTACAAAACAAAAGGCATAACAAAAGAATAACCACAGCAAAGTTTATCCAAAATGCTTCTTTATAAATTAGATAGTGCTACCTGTTTGTTTGACAGCACGGGTTTGTAAGCCTGCAGTTGTGTTCACTTCAGGTGGTGTCAGAAGTTGATGTGATTTCGGATATCATTGATTTGCTTCACCATTTCCCTTATGTGTTCACCCCTGCAAAATCATCAAATAACTCACTTAAAACAAATGAATGAGCCATTAGTACTGAATTGTATGATTTTTTTTTTTTTCCACCCCCAGCTCTGAGTCAGAGTCTCTGTGTAGCCCTGGTTATCCTGGAACTTGCTCTGTAGACCAGGCTGACCTCAAACTCAGAGATGTGTCTGCCTCTGCCTCTGCCTCCTGAGTGCAGGGATTAAAGTTGTGTGCACCATGTGCAGGAGTCTAAGAATTTAAACTCTCAGTGTTGCAATAGACTTAAGAATGGCTTTCTGAATACTGAATAGCTTGAAAGGGTTTCGGGTGGACAGTGGTGGTTGTCTGTGTGGTGTTGGGGACTAAACCTAAGGCATCACACATTAGACAGATGCTGTGCCACGGAGCTATAGTACAGCCCCAGAAACACTGCTAACCACATTCCCGAGACGTACTTTTCATTACACAACAAAACTATTATAGGAGAGCCACTATTTTCCATCCCACCATGTTCATTGAAGCCTGTCTATCATGCCCCCATTCTGCAGGCAGATCTCAGATCAGGATTCTTATCCAGGCAAATAGGCAGCTTTTGGTATACTGCCAAGGAAAAATGGTCTCACGCCAGTAGCTCACTGGAAAACATCAACTTACTCTTCCTTCAGGATGGACTGAATGCACTTTCGCTGGTAGGCACTGAGAGTAATGGTGGGTTTCTGAGGACTCAGTACTTTTTCCATCTTTCGCTGTTGATAATCTTTTTTCATAGTAACCTTAAGTATCAAACAGAACATAGATATTTTGACTATGGTTTGCCACACATTTTTACAGTAATTATTTTACTGTTCATATTTTACAAAAATATATTAGCCACCCTGCACCCATTCTTACCTGTTTGATGGCATTGCCCAGGTGTCGTAGTTGATCAGGTATCAGCTGTAACTCTTTTTTCATGTCTCTCTCACTGTCAGAGAGAACTGGGAGCTGAGTATGAAAACTGTGAAGCACTTTTTTCATCCTTAAGAAAAAGGGAATGCGGGTTAAGACTGCAAATTATAACAGAAACAGAGTTTGTAATTCAAGAATTTGGTGTCTGAGGAGCTGGGGCACACAGGAGTTAGGGGACAGTGGTCTTTCCTGACACTTCAAGGGCTGCAGTTCTGCTCTGTAGGTGTGTGGACACTGGTAGTACCCAACACTTAGTAACATCACTGATCCTGAGCAGAGGGGACTGGAGGATGCGTCATGGTGTACCCACCTGTTCATGATGTCTTCTTGTTTTTCTTTGGCTTCCTCATACTTGTCAGCTAAGCGCTCGGCCATCTCCCGTAGACTTTTCCTGGAGGAATGAATATCTCTTGGGGTCCATCTGATGTGGCACAGCATCCTGAGTGAGATGCATTCCACTATTCCTCACTCTTTTCTCCTCTTTGGTTTTGACACCTACCTCTCCTCTCGACAGTAATTGAGATCTTCTAGTTGTTTCCTCTTTTGGTCACATAATAATTTGACCCTTCAAAAAAAAAAGTAGTAGTTAAAGGTTAATGGAAAGCCAGGTTTCCACAGGTGATTACACTGAGCCAACCCCTAGCAAGGACCCGTGGCTGTTCAACATAGGACACTGTACCTCCGCTGAATCTCTTCCTTGGCCAGGTCCTGCTTGAGAATGTACTGTTCCCTGAATACCTGGGTGGCTCTGCTGATAAGCTGAAGACACTCCTCGGGAGGGGGAGCCAAATCCTTTTCAGATGACCTTTAGAACAGTTTCTGTCATTATTCTCGCTAGCCAGATAAAGTCCCCCGACAGACAAACCCTAGCTACGTTTGTTGTTGTTCCTGTTCTGGTTTGTGAGACAGGGTTTCTCTGTAACAGCCTTGGCTGTCCTGGAACTAGCTTTGTAGACCAGGCTGGCCTCAGAGATCTTGAGTGCTGGGATTAAAGGTGTGAGCTACCACACCTGGCAATCAAGCCCTGGCCAATTTATCACCCCCGTTGAGCACTTTTCAGGTGCCGCTTCTGACTAGCTGATGAGAGGTGGCTATGTCCTCTCCCACTGCACCACAGTAAGGACAGAAAAGGCCAGAAGCAAGGATGAACACTTGGTAGCAAGCACACAAAGCCCTAGGTCCAATCCCCACTTTAAAGAAAAAGCCCATTCTTAAAACTCGCATGTCCCAAATCCCATACTTAAGAAATGCTGGGTTGGCGGCACTTCGTTGCAAGATGCTTTTAATGTGCTTCTCAAAGGAGTCTGGGGTTTCGGCCAGGATGCGCAGCGGAGACTCTGCCACTTCAGCATCTTCTCGGGTACACAGCAGGGGAGGAGATGCTGGGTGGACTGTACTTCTGCAAAGCAAACAAGTCAGGTCCACTGTGGAGCTAGTTGTTGGATTACAGGATGTCTTTAGCCACACTTACCAAAACCCACGTACACGCACACCTAAAGTACAAGAACGTGCGTTCTGTCCTGGAAGGTCATCCTAGGAAGCTCCTATCTTGCCATTTGTCTGAGCATTTTGACCTCTTTAAAAATTCTTTTTGAAAAGATCAAGGCAACTCAAAAAAGTAAATCCCATGGCCCCTCTCTTGCAAAGGGCTCAAGCCAGCACTATAATACTTACCATTCCTTTTTGGGGCATAGTTTAGATTTGATAAATGCTGGTGTGGGGCCAGATGAGTGTTGTGTACTATATTTATTTCTACATAACTTCATTTCTAAAAATTACACAAGAGCAAACATTTCCAAAGGCAATTCCCGAAAAAGCTCGAAGGACCATGAACTTCAGCAGTATGTAAGTAACATACTTTGAAGGCAATTCATATTTGAAAGAGCTTTATAAATAAGAGTGTTAATATTACAGATAACTTGTATTTTTGGCAAATGGCAGAAATATGATTAAAAGGTAACCATCTAAGAGCTTTCTCTCCTCTTTGAGACTGATGTTTTTATTGTCCAAACAGTGTGGCCAGGCTCTATTTAAAACACTAAAGGTG